CGCAAAACGCAACCAATGGCAATAAACAAGCTTTTAGTATTTTTAAAGTTTTAGCTAAGCCAACGATACGTCTAGGAAATAGCTGTCATAAAAAAAATTGAGCGATTTATTCTAATAATAAATAATCCAACCGACCTGATTTATTCAAATTAAAAATAACAATTTATACTCCTTAAACCGATGCAAAATTAGTTCATTAAATCGACAAAACGAGCCGAAATCACTTAAGCCGAATAAAACTCCTACGCGAAAAAAAACGCACAAAAACGGAATTTATACCAGACAGGGATAGTTAATTTAAGAAAACTAAAGGAGTTAATCAACGATACTTGAGACTACAACGCAAACTGCTTACAGCTAAAAAAAATTGGTGTGGCAACTAAACCAACAAAACAAGCCAAAAAACTAAGACAATGAAGAAAAACAAGGCCCTGCCGCGCCTCGATCCCAAGGCCAAATCGTACAAAGGCAACCGCACTACCTCGAGCTCATGTGAGAAAAGGCCTGGCAGTTGATCAGAACTGATAAAAAGAGCAACAAATTTCAACACAGAGACGAAGCTGAGCTTCGCACCACTTGCGATACAACACGAGCAAAATAACCGAGAAAAAATTCGAAAATGTCGAACTAGATCTATCAAAATGAATAAAACTCATTTTGAAACAAAAACATGCCGAGACAATAGAATGTGAAACTAGCATCGGAAGATAATTTACCCAGCGACAAAAATCCTGTAAATACCTTGGCACAAACCCTTTAAGCCGACAAAAATCAAAAAGACTTAAGACTCAAAGAATGACAACTTACACTCAAAACACTTTATTTGCTCGTCAAATGCAATTATTTGAGGCAACTAAGCTGATATAATATAGATCGAAACTGATTGAACCCAAAAGTAAAATAAAAAAGCCGACAAACATTCATAAAAATTTAAGACTAATAAGAAGTTATTAAGCCCCCCTCATCCTCAATACACACACGCGCACACAAATTTTTTCGCTTGTCGAAAGACGCAATATCAGGCCAATAAGACGATATAATATATGCCGAAACCAATAAAGCTGAAAAAAAATTGTTGTCATGAAAAACATGAACTATATTTTCTAAAAAAAATTAAAGACATGAGGTGATCCAGAGGTGAGCAAAAAACTATATGCTTCCATTAAAGCGACGCGAAATCGGGTCACAACCGAAAAAAGTAAACCGAAACTATTTGGGCAGAATAAAGTTTTTAAGCAAAAAAAAAAACTGAAAATATACGATGTCAAGGTTTAAAAAAAAACAAACAAACAGCAGAGTTAAACCAGAGCGCTGAAAGCAACTATTATGTTTGAAAAATCTTTTAAAAAAAAACAATTCTGCAATATAGCAACTAAGCCGAGAAAACAAGCAGGCAATAATAAGCCGACAATTTTTGTGAAATGGATTATTTACCATCTAAAAAACCACAGGTCCTTTCAGATTCAAACCCAGGACATGTGCCTTTCCAGGTGCATTCCTTACCTCCAAACCGTGTGCCGGAGACACAAAAAAAATTAAATTCATTATGAACTAAACCTGAATTTACCATTTCTAATTTTGACCATTCTGTGAACTAAGTTATTTACGGGGAAAAAAGTCAAGTACCCGACTGCAAAACCCATGCTTATCGCAAGGTTAATTACAAAGAAAAGTTGTTCACGGAAAAAAATTCGAATTCCCTTTTACAAGACAATTGCTCTCGCAAGTGTAATGAGCCGAAACCTTTCAAACCGAAAAAGCAAAAAATGGAAAAACTGAAACTGAAATAGACCATATCGGAGTTGGTAAGTTCACGATCAACCTAAAATTTTGACAAAATGTATTTAAAATGCAGACTTGCTCAAAACCTATTTGTTGTTGATTAAATGATTCAAGTAATTTTGTTAAACAAGTTGTTAGCCTAAAAAACATCCATATTTGGTAATGATGTCTAGTGATATTGCCGCTCTTCAATTGGTTTGATTATTTTTGTTCGGACAAATATTAAAGCCCTTTCAATTGTATTTTGAACATTTAAAATTTTTTTCTCAGTATCGAGAAAAATTGGTTCAAATTTTTAATCTAATTTCAAGCTAATAAGGTGAGCATGCAGGCTAACAAGAGCTTATTTAAGCCGTGAACACTTAGTTTTACGCGAGTTTAATTAGTTTCAGGAGTTTTTTAGCGCCATTTTGGTAATCAAAAACTTAAAAAACTTTCAACAAAAACTGCTTTCCAATTGACCTGTTTCACGATGGCTGTCGAATATGCTTAAGTCTATTTTTTCGTTCAGATTTTTTTTATCACGCTGCTTGTAAAGCAACCAAATATTAGTATGTAAATATTACCACTGATAGGTAGTAATATTTAATGTTCTACGCTGCTTGTAAAGCAACGAGATACTCTTGTTTAAATATTACCACTGATATATTGAAAGATATGAGAAGGAGATCCTTCATTCTCTACTTTCTGATCCTTGGCCACTTGTCGAAAACTTGTTTGTTTGTTGAACTTCAATTCAAATATTCAATTTAAAAACAGTTGAACTTCAATTCAAATATTCAATTGAAACAAAAAAATCTCCATTAAAATCAAAAGAAATCAGCAGCTGATTTTCGTTGTTTGAAACCAGAGTTTTTGTTTTCATTTTTCTCTGAAATCTCTGACGTTTCCGCGGATGGTGCTGCAAAAGAAACTCTGCCTTTCGCTTTTGCTTCAGGTTTAATTTTCTTCCCTGAAATATTTTCTTCATCATCTAAATTGATTGCTCCAAGTGACTTGTTAGCTTTCGCAGATCGTGTTCTAGTGTTCATTGCGTTTTCGGCTATCCGCTTCGTGAAACTCGGCAAGTTTTCTATTTCCTCTGATGTCAAAAAGTTATCTTTCTTTTTCTTTTTCTCTGACTGTTCAACCTTCACATAATCAGCACCTAGTTTTGGAGTTCGCGTTTCCGCAGAATTTGAAGACTTATTTTTACTATATGCTTGACGAAGCTCCTTAGAAATTGGCGTCGCGACAAAATCAACCGAAGTTAAGGCAGCGCTTGCTTTCTGATCCTCCATTTTATTATCAGCATTTTCTTTAGCCATGGCTTTTTGTTTCTTTTTCAATTCTTTTCGTTTCTCGTCTTCTATAAGCCTTCGTTTTTTATTTGAAATGTTTTTCTCCTGTTGTTTCTTCACACGCTTTCTCTGGTCCTTGTTAAGTTTAATTTCAACTGGTTTTTCCTGGAAAACTTCTTTGATTTGGTATGCTGAAAGTGTGTTAATGTCCACTGCTCCACTAGTAATTTTCTCTCTCAATTGTGCAATTTCCTCTGAATTGTCATTTATCATTTCTTTTCGCTTCTTCTTCTGTGACTCTTTGTTCTTTGAAGTTAATTCTTGGTCAGATTTTTTTTGGCTTTCTTTGCCAGCTGATTTCGCAATTTCATTCAGAGAATTTTCGTCAATTTTCTTTTCGCTCACACCAGACGCTTCTGTTTTTTTCTCAACTGTTTTTTCTATGACTGCATTATTACAAACCAATTCAGGTTCATCGTTTCCAGACAAATTTGCAACCTTCGGAGAACTCAAGTCTGTGATTTCTTCTAGCTTTTGTTCAATTTTTCGTTTCGACTTTTTGGATAGCTTTTCCTTTTCAACCATTTTGTTTTTCTCGGCTAATTTTCCGTTTTGGTCGAGATTCTTGTCCACATTTACTAGTTCATTGGACCTAGTGTCTCCATGTTCGACTACAGTACATGTGTTTTCTTTCAGATCTTGATCATTATCAGCAACAACTTCATCCTCATCTTTGACCAGTCCTGCTTTTTTGAACTCTTCCTGAATTTCTTCTTGCTCTTTTCTCAACTTCTTTTCTTTTTTCCGCTTCCTTTTCTCCTTTTCCATTTTCGCATTTTCCTCCAAATCATTCATTTCTAGAGTTTGTCGCTTCCACCTTTTCAACAAATACAACAACCCGTTTCGATTAGTATCCGAAATAGTTTCATCAACAGCCAATTTAGAAACGTGATCTGCAAACAGATTTCGATCGAACGAAATGGTTTCTACATTCTGGCCCAGAAGCCTTTTTTCCGAATATTTTGCCAAACCTGTTAAAGACAAAAACAATTCATTTGTCATGTGATAGCACAACTGTTGATCCTTTCCAAACTTCATGTAGTCTAGGAAAGGAAAACACAGGCGCATGAAAACATCGTGGGTGACTTTTTCAGCCAAAATTTGACCAACTTCGTCAAAAAACACATCGCATACGTGATACTCAACCGTCGAAGCTGAAACAACAGTTTTCGTGCTGAAAACTTCTTCTTGCATTGTTTTGGAGAAAACTTTAAGCGAAGTGAGAGATAGATCTTCGGCCAAAACTGCGTTCAAAGCAGATCTCACCATTATGCGGATTAAAAACAAAAATTTGTCCTGACGATGTGTATCTAATCCGAGCCATTCCCTTTTGATAATGAAAAAGAACGCTTTGATGAAGTTCATTTTTTGTCTAATTTTAACAAACAGGGGCGTCAGTCTAGCCAAAGATTTCGACAGTTTCTCCTGGCGTATCATGGTATCGCAAATCCACAGACAATAATAGAGACATTTCCAAAGTTTTTTCAGCTCGGGAAAAGTGAAATAATTTTCTTTTTCGATTCGAGTGGTGATATAAACTTTCAATTTACTGAGAGCTTCAAGTCTTACTGATTTTTCCTCGGAAGCTAAAAGACGGGCTAAGCCCTGCATGCCTTTGCTAACTTCGTCGCTAGCTGCCTTATTTTCAGATACATCTTCTTTCTCTGATTGCTTTCCGCCTGAGTCCAGAGTGACTAAAGTTTCCATGAATCTGAAATAAAAATGATTCACCAACTTCGAGTTCAGAGAATACTAATAACAATCTTTTCAGCTGATATATTTTTTCTATTCAATGAAACGAATTTTTATTACACCGATTGTCATTCAAAATTTTAAAAAATCATTACTCATAGATCAAAAAATTAGAGAAAAAAATAGTAGAAAAAGGGACGTTTAAATAAAAGGGGCAATCTAATAAATAAAAACATCTAAAATTGTTTAGTTTCAGATAAGTTTAGATTGAATTGGGATAGAAAAGGATTAGAAAATTTTCTTTTTCGTGGCCGTAAACCGCTCCATGTACTTTTTATACTCTTCCGTATTATCCAGTTCCTTCTGCGTGATCAAATTACCTTCCAGACAGATAAGTGAAACTCCAGAATCGCCCAAAATTGTTCTCAGATTGTCGTTCAGACTCAAACAATTCTCTTCGAGCCTCAAAATTTTCAGTCTCGGACAGTTTTTGAGCTCAGCCGGAATGTCTGACAATCGATTTCTGTTGGCATTTAGTTCTTGAATATTCAATTGGCCTAAACCAGTCGGTAAAGACTGAAGGATGTTATAGCTGGCCTCGATGACTTCTAAATTTTTGCACTGAGGTAGAGAATCAGGAAGAGATTGTATGCTGTTGTTTGTTATGTTCAGGCTTTTTAGACTCTTCAGCTGGCCGACTTTGGAGGTAAGTGATTTGATTTTGTTGTTTGATACGTTCAATGTTTCCAGTTTCTTCATGCTAAATATGCCTAAACACGAATGCGAATAAACTCAGCAATATCAGGGCTACAAAATTTTGAAAGAATCTTTTCTAACAATTTTGAAAAAAAAATTAACTTAAAAGTACAGGCATTTTTAAAAGAGTACTGGTAAAACACAGTTGCGCAGAATGATCCGACCATATCAACCAGGCAACAAAAAACCAAAACTTGGAACTTAAGCAAAAACTTAATTTATTATTATTTTCAAATTTCGGGCTGTTTTCAACAAAGGATAGATAGAAAGGCCCAAAAAATTAACATAGAGGCAAAAGAAACAAAAAGCTTTAAAAAGAAAGAAATTACAACACACAGGCAAAGCGGAACCTGCCACTTATTGCGATTTGTCACAAACATAGCATCCCAAGGTTGTCAAAAGAAAACGAGACAACAGTTATTGAAGAATTTTTTTGAGCTGTGGAACTTTTTGCACTCCCGGAAGCGCACACATGAGAAATCTAACTTTGGTCTTTAAAAGACTAGTACCCGGTTGCAATTCCATTTTGTATCGCCATCGCACTGAAAAAACACACAAAAAACGCAAAATAAGTGTCTTAACTTGTGTATAAACTTTATTTAACACTAAAAAGGCTCCATTATGACAGCAACGCAAAAACGAATATAAAGCCTAAAATAAAAGTTCAGATATTTTATAATCTAGTCTAACGGAGCTCTCTCAAGTGACGTTTTTGTACAAGATTTCTTAATATGTATTTCCGTTATTGTAATGACTTCACTTGGAAACAATTTATTGTTATATTATCATTTTTCCCCTACTTGTAGTTCACTCTCAACTTAAACTTGATATAAGTTTAAGCCGATATTTTCAATTAACGTCCGTTTCAAATATGATAACAAACTAAATGTCTTCGCTCATTCCTTTATTTAACGTAGCCAACAAACAGTTGGAAAAGAGCCAATGATCGCTAGGGAACACTAAAAAACACTGAAAAAAAAGGAATTGTTTCTGAAAAAACTTCAACTTTCGAACTTTGAAACAAATGCATGACATTAGTGCTCTTTTTGATTGAATGAACCAAATTTGAGAAAGCTGGATCAATATGGAAATTTTTTTTATTTCGCTGGGAAATCTGATAATTGAAATTCATTTTCGAAATAAGAAGCCGATCACGTTTTTAGTGACTTTTACAATTTTGCTGTACGATTATGGAGCTTGCGTCCCTTTTCATAAAGGAAAAAATTGAAATTAAAAAGAAATCAAAAGTCAAAATGCTTAAAACAAAAAAGAACAAAAATAATGAACAAAAAATACCAGGACCCAGATGTAGGTTTAGGATTTTTTCGTGGGGTGGACGGATTTTCAAAAAACATTCACACATTTTTTCGACCTTTTTTCAGGTTAACCAAAATGATTGTGCACGCGAATATTTATGAAAAAGCAAGAAAAAGCGTTTTTAAGCACTTTTTAGACAGTTTTGACCAAAATTTTTTTTTTTCGACGACCTTCCTCAAAATTAGTTCATACTGGCGTTAAAAGCGCCTTTAGGAAAATTTTCGAGTCAGCCAGCCATAAATGGAGGTCTCAAAATAGTATCAATAGGGTGACCGTTTGGGCATTTAGGGGTCGAATTCGATACTGCCAGGACCTATATAAGAGCCTTCACTACGCTCATTGACTCTTATACGTCATTCAAATACTTAAAAATGATCCAAAATAAAATCAAATTATAACCTTCTGGCAATTCAACTAGCTCGCATCCGACCATCACGAGAGTTTTCATCATCTGGAACTGACTGAGACAAGGCGGGAAACTGTCTGGCTTGTTCAACTTGTTCCCACTCACATCCAGGGTCCTCAGATTTGCCTTCAATTTATCCAGGCCATCCGGAAGTTTGTTCAGGCCACAGTTGGCCAGGCCGAGGGTGCCTGTCTTCTGGGCCGTCTCCATGTGTGCCTTGGTTGAACTGGAATTGCCCATTGTATCAAAAACATCCAAGCTCTGAAAACTATTCAGTGAATACATGAAATGAAACAAAACAATTAAGCAGCTATACTTTTAAAGACAAACGAATAAACAAGGATCGCCGGTTACTGTGCAAGTACCACAGAATGTTCCGATCATAATCTTAAAAAAATACAAAAACTTTTTTTCTAACTTAGGCATATTCGACAGTCATAATAAAATCCGCAAAATGGAAAACAACTTTTGTAGAAAAATGAATAGAAAAAATACAAAATCGTAATTTTAGAAAATCAAAAAAATGTTTGAAAGTTTTTGATTCCAAAAATGGCGCAAACAAAATCCTAAACTAACTTCATTCGAGTAAAACTAAGTTTTCACGGCTTAAACTAAGCATAAATAAGCTGTTATAAGCCTGCTCGCTCACCTTATTCGCTCGAATTTAGACCAAAAATCAAAAATTTAAAACCGGTTTTTCTCGACACTGAGAAATTTTTTCAAAACTTTTTAATGTCGTTTGAATCACGACTTAAAGGGCTTTAATTTGATATTTCATCCGGCACTTCCGATGGTTATTGCTTATTGGTGGCACCTAATTTTGCGTGAAAAACAAAAAATAAGAAGAAAAATAAAACACCCGAATACAAAGTTCCTCCCTATTTTCAATGGTCGGAACAAAAACTCTTCACAAACCGTATCGAAAACGGCTGAAAAGGACAGATAATTGACCAAAGCTCTTTGACTGGATTATTAAACCTGTTTGAAAACGGTAAGAACCAAAATGATACTTTGCCGGAAAATCAGCAATCTAGATCAAGAGTATGCGATTGAAAAACTGAACAAGATTTTCTACAATTGTATCTATTTTTAAATATCAAAACGAAGTAACGACTCAATATGAAAACACCTCTCAGTTTCAAAAAATTCCATTGTAAAAAATCATTGCAGAAAAATATCTTTCAATGAGAATTCAAAGGCAAATAGCTATCACTCAAAGCGACCCAAGTCTTTTTAGCCGGATCAGTGTCTCTTTTCTGTAGTTTTGACACTTTACCAGACGTTGTTTGACCTTGACGAAACAAAACACCGCTCGATTTTTCACTCTCAGCTCGTTTCTTCTCTCTAAGCTGTGCTTTCCTCTCAAAATAACTCAACTTCTTAACGGGTGCTGTTCCGTTTTGCTTTTGGTACTTCTTAATTTGCGTGAACAATTGCACGACGCTCGAGGTTGCGATTAAAGTGAGCTCTCGTTCTAACGTTTTGTCCGTATTTTCAGCGGTCGGTAAAACGTGGCACAGATTTTTCATTTCGAGTTTCTCCTTATTTCGTTTCTTTTCCTCCATTCGTCCCTTTAGAATCTTCAGTTTACTCTTGTGTAGCACTGTCTTTGAGGGCGCTACCTTTCTGCTCATGATGTCCTTGATGACGTCACACATTGCCTCAAATGACCTCGGTTCACCTTTGGGATATTGCACTTGGGTCGCTTGTTTCTTTTTCGATAATGCTCCGTCATAATTTCTTTCTACCGAAGTTTTTTCCCATTCTTTTTCAGAAGAAAGTTTTCGCTTTTTCGTAGAAACTTTGGTCTCGACTTCAGCGCTCGATTGATTTTTATTTCTTTTCATATCTACCTAAAAATTGCATAGCATGGCCCCTTGAATTCAATGCATGATTACTTCACTTTCACCTACACTAATATGTTGACAATACTATTTTGTTCAGATATCTTTTCCTATCTAGAGCCAACAATATGCTTAACAAGCGAGCTGGTTTCTGTGCAAGTTGCTTTTGCACTACAAAAGTCTTTTTTTTTGCGTGTGGGAGCGCCAAACAGCTATCTTAAGGCAAACTACCTATGGCTTTATAAAAGAACAATAATTAATTCTTAGTAAGCATCTTTAACTAAGCAATGAATAGCTAAATATGCTTGAATATCTAAACAAAAAATGCGACACATTTTAGAGAGATTTTCATGCCAATGTTGAACCATGCTTGGAATGCATATACTCTGATACATTTTGCCTGTTATAAAATGTAGATAAAAGAAGAAGATGGTTGAGCGTGCAGCAGAAAAATTGAATACAATCTGATGTCCGGGGGAAGACTGGGACACCATTTTCAAGCAAAATCAATTTGAATACGTTGAAACGTGAAACAAAGATCTATTTCGGGCTGAGCTTCATTGAGACAAACAGAAATAACAAATAGCGAGCTAAGTATTTGAAAAGAAGTAAATTGTAAGAAGGAACTCCCAGATCAAAAATATTTCACTTGGTGGCGATGACTGCGAGCTATTTACCATTTATTTAACATTCAGACAATATTTCGTCGGTGCACTTTGAAAATTTAAACAGCACTGTTTTAAAAATGCATATATCCGACATTTACATTCGCAGATATCCTCAATTTATGCAGCCCAGAAATCTTGTTTCAAAAGCTTATGAAAGCGCAAAACTATATTTTGCAGAAAAGGTTTAAAATTTTCAATAACGTTCCTGTTAAAGCATTAGCACGCATCTCACTTCATTTCCAAAAGCAAATTTCTCAATACTTTTGAAAAACTCACATCGCTTCAGCGCAACGACAATGACAAGTAAGTATGCAAGCCTTTATTTTCAAGTTTGAGGGTTTACTTTGTTTTTGCTCTTTTATCTTCACGATTGAGTAGCTCGCTTCACCGCCTCTCCCTTGCAAACAAAACTAAAGGGTGTCTTCAGTTGAACCGAGTATCTGTGGTAAAACAGATGGTGAAAACTCCCGTCATAGAAAGATAGAATGACAGAAATTAATCTAAACCAATCAGAATTCAGTATTTGAAACACAGGAAGGAGAAGTGAAAATCTGGATAGTTTAAAGGCTTTTGATTGACTAGAATATTGTGGCATTTGCTCCTTCTGCTATCAGAATAACACCAAACCAAATCAGTGCATGCATTTGACTCCAAAACTAACCCATCTTTTATTTGATCAATTTTAAACATAACCAAAAACTGAAAAATTCAAATTACAATTATCATTTTTTAGAAGTCTTTTTTTTTCGACCAACTGGCACGTGTTCCCATTTTCGATGTACTGTTACGTTCTTGCACTTGCATACAGTCAGAAAAACAAACAAGCAATCTACTGCATAATTCAGAAAATAAACAAACCATTTCAGACCAGCTCTTGTCTCACAGTGCCGATTGAAATGAAATAAAACAGAATTTTAATAATAACTGTCACTTTTGGGTATCACTTTCCCCGTGGAACGTTTTTTTTCAAGACAAGCTTTTTGTACCACTTATCAATAATATTTTCATACTCAAGCCACTTGCTATGGGCATACTTTGATTACAATAGGCTACTCTGTCCCCTTTAAAAATAATTCACATTTTATTTTTCTTAAGCATTCGAGGAAAATCATACAGCACAAAATAAAAAAATAATAATAATAAAAAAACAATATGCAATTTTATGGCATTGCAATACAATCATTTCCTTCTTTTCTGCCATTAGTTTCCGAGCTCAGCTGATGAAAAATCAACCCGAATATTTGCAACGCAATTTAATTAACTTATATTTTTAGAAGTGACCCGGCCGAAATTCTAATTCAAACTATCCCAACTCTAATTTGAAACAAATTCAGCATTTTGATTTTTACTGCATCCTGCGGTATTTTCCTTAATTTACTCTTTTCCATAAACAGTAATAATAGGATTGAAAATGGTAGATCATAAACTTACAAAATGACGCAACTGTGAAATGCAAGTTCGTATGTTTTTTTGTTTTGTTTTTTTATCCATTCTCACCCCACCCGCACAAAGGTGACTTGTTTGATCCGGTTAATGAATGGAAAAGGTACAGACTAACTTAACGACTTTTGATCCCAGGTGGATTTAATAAATATATTTGCTTGTTTTCCTTTTAACCTACCAAAACGAGTCACAGTTTATTGCATAAAGCACCGCATAAATTAGATCGTAAACGACAAACATTCACCAGTGCCAAAAATGATCTCCCCTCCCCAATCACGATGCCTCAAGAAGCGAACAGTACTTCTCAATACTTCCCATCTGGGCCAATTATGAATATGTTGTCACTCCTCATTTCGAGCACAAGCTACAGTTCGCTTACGATCCTCATTCTTACAGGTTGAATTTAAATTACAGACTGAAAGATAGCTGAATGTAGTTCATTTTTACTTTTCTAATTTTGTCTTCTCAATTCATTATTCGCAGTCCGTGACGAATACCTAAAGCAAATCAACAGATCCCGTTTTCCACAAGCGAACTCAACTTAATTTCTTGTCTTCATTTATGAGTTTGTTCACCTTTAAACCAATTTATTATTCTTCTCATCAAACAGTTACACTGTAATAAATACTGTGGCTTGATTTTTTTCGAAACGATAAAAGGCAGATTTTGAGACATTTTCATAAAAAGTTTGTATTTTTTCCATGCAAGACTTTACCTCACACCTAACAAATGACCACAGACGAAGAAACCCAGAGGCGGATCTAGGATTTTCTCGAGGGGGGGGGGGGGGGGGAGATTTCCAGAAAAACTTTCAAAAAATTTGGCGACTTTTTTTTAGGTCGACCAAATTGATTTTCCGAGTCCTCTCAAAGCACTAAAAAGACCCTGTTTTGGCCAAATTTTCTGCAACGCCGCCAAAAATTTGAAACAGGCCAAAAAAGCGTTTTTTCAGCGCCCGCTCCCCCTCAAAATTAGTATATATTAGCGCCCAAGGCGCCTTCAAAAAATTTTAAGGTCCGTCAGCCAAAAATGGATATCTCAAAATAGCACACAGGGGGAGATCCTTTATAGTACACAGGGGTCGGCAGGGGTTCGAATCCCTGAAGAAGGGGGGCGTCCGCCCCACCCCCCAAATCCACCTCTGAAGAAACGCTTCGCAAAAGCAGGCCAAAAATGACGCAAAGTATGCTGCTCTTTGCCTGCTTTTCATGCGATCTTAGGTAATTTATTGTTCAAATTGTAAGCAAACTTTTGTATTCTGACGTTAATCCCTGTTATAGGCCTTCAAAAACGTTCACCAAAAACCCTCTTTCGAACCTATTCTTCTAAATCTTTCTCAAACCCATCTCATTTTTTCTTTTTTACTTCTAAAATTCCTGGCTGCTTTTCTGATCATCATAATAATTATATGAGTTAACGAATTTGTAACTTGTTGATTTTTGACCCCGAGTACGAAAAAAACAATGACCTAGGGTCGGTTTTCTACGCCACTTTCAAATCTGAAATAAAGCTCGTAAAGGGTCAAAAGTGATAGCCCATTGAAGCAAAATTAAACACATTACAAACAAATATAGTCGGTTACTGTACAAGTAGCATAGAAGAAGAATAATAAATTAATTCAAGTCAAAATAAATTGATATAAACAAAATACAGCAATAGATATAGCGACTTGAAAATGGTAAATAACGAGATCAGCTGATCTGCTCTAAGTCTACCCCGAGCAACAGAAGATTCAAAAAATATTTGTTTTGAAAGTAGTTATTAATGATAATAATAATAATTATTATAATAATATCTAAATAATTTAACAATTAAAAAAAGTCAGACCGAGATTTTTTCTAAGCTCCAATCAAGCGTTTAACCACTAGACTAAAGAAATGTAACATAATAAAACTTGAGAGCCTTATAAATCAAAAAGAAAGTTCTGAAAAAAAGTAATACCAAAACAAAAAATAAATCGAAAAATTATCTTACTGATTTTGTCAGATTTTCTAAGTTTATTTGAAAACTTTTTAGTGATACGCAAGTACTAAATGAAGCTTAAACGACTTGTTTTCTTGTAGTAAAACTAATTTTGCACCGTTTCAATTACCGATTTTTCTTCTAACAAATTTAGACTTAAGAAATCAAACAAAAAATGTCACACCTCTTTTTCTCGATACTGAGTGATTTTTTGGAAAACTTTTCATGTCGCTTGAGTCATGGCTTTATGAGCACTACAATGATACATAACTTGAACTATTCTAAAAAATTATCACTATCAACTACCATTATTACTGTCACGTTTGAGTAACTTCATCATATTTAGACCTGGGAGAACATAACACAGAAACGATTCGAAGAGAAAAATAAGCTGGGAAAATCAACGGTTTTTCCGACAAGGGTATTCGACTCACGGACTCTAGATTATTATTCTATTGCCCCTTCACTGTGTTATCTGGCCATGCTGCCTTACACGGTTAACTAACACATCCTAAAATAGCAAACACGAGGAAGCAGTGATAGCGCTTCAAAACAGATATAAAGAAATTCAACTAAAGGTGAACCACAAAATTAAGCGCCTCCGATTAAAAAAAAAAGAAATTGCATTATATCAGCAGCATTTGCTTAAAAAATGAAAAAAAAAAACAAAAGCAGCATTTACTTAAAATGAAAAAACAACAAGATTTTTGGGTATTTACCGTGTCGGAACATGCTGTACTATTTGCACAGCAATCGGCTACTCATGAACTGATAATCGGTTATTCTTCAATGTTAATGAACTGCAAGAATTTTAAAATCTAATTAGAAGAAAATATTCAATTTTTCTTCGTCGCTAACTACATTATAGCCGATAAACGGATAAAAGGCCATAAAAACACAACTGAAAACACTAGTATAAATTTTTTGGGTAGCATGAAATTATTTGCAGAACAACTGCATATAAAATCGCAGACCATTTTTGGGTTGGTGGGAGCAAAGTGGCGTGATGCAAATTTCATCAATCAGTTACACCGCAACTGAAAACAGAAGTGATTTTCAGCCATTCACACTAAAAATCAGGCAAAAAGATCAAACATCCATTCAAAAACAAACATACCACAAGAGAAGCAAGATTTGAGATGAAAATGAAGGTCGTCAAGTCACGACAACCATAAACAAGCATCATAAAAAATAGAAACACACTTCGACTGCATGATTCGAATGGAGCGGAGAAATATTAGGAAGCAACTGCCGTTAATCTGTGTCAGTTTTTGGTCTAATTGCTCCCATGACGGAAGTGAAGAGCAGAATTAGCCAGAGAAAAAATATAGAATTGACCAACTCTATTATAAAAACTGTCTTCAATATTGGTTGACTAATAGAATATGGAAGTTATATTTAGCAAAAGTATTCAAACAGTGCAATAAATCAAATTAAATGTGCGTGGCAAGGATTCGTTAAATTGTAACTTCTGGCACTTGTGGTTTCGATCCATGTCTCAAAAAAAACTGTTGCAGAATTATCTCAGGTGAACTCTGCAAATTAATTACCCGGAAAATTGAACTTTTTATTTCGCCGCCTATATTTTGCAAATTGGGTGGATGACAGAGCCTCACCAGAAATATTATTCACTCCCTCCACTACAAAAACTCTAAAGGTAAGAGGATTTGTTTTAGCTCTATTTCTAGCTAATTCGCTTTTAAAACAAACGACTCTATTGTAATTATGTATGCTATTTTTCCTCTGATTTTCCGTTAGCACTCTTTTAAGACTTTTGGTTACGCACTTTTGGCTCCAAATATACGAAACTCAAACCCCGAAAAATTTCTAGTTGCATAGGAAACTTTTGCAAACTACGGCAGTTTAAGGCTTGGCCAGAGATCCGATAATCGAAATGAACCAAAAAAGGTCCATCAGGATGTTTCGCCCATTCTCTCACTGTGAAAAGGTTCCGGTGCACGCTACTGACTAAGGAAGGATCTCCATTTATGTATTGAGAAAACCCAAAAACTAATGATTTTTTTTAAAAACGTGTTTAAAAAGGAGTGTTTTTTTGGAAATTCTTATCGAAATATATGTAATATTTCAAAGGGTATTGATTTACCCCCCTCCCTACCCTTTCCCTTCAGCGGACCAAAAATACGCGGATCTTGACAATAGTAAGACTGATTATCTCTGAAATAGCAAGACTGAAATAGCAAGAGATTGATTATTAATCAACTAAATTTATCTGACCGTTTCTCTACCTACTTGAACAAGATTAAGTAGCTGTCAGTAAAACCTATTTAAAGACAAAACCATGTCATATTTCTTATTATATCTGAGGCAATCGTTTCACGTAATTTCTGCATATTTCAGGTCACGTCATTAAGACCTTCAAAATGAAAAAAGGTTACATGCAGAGGTTGATATTTAGTAAAAGCTTTTTTTTCTCACAGAGCACGTGATTATATGGAAAATATATGAACGGAATAAAACCATTTTGGCCCAGTGAAACTCCAAATATCTAGAAAACATCAGTGAGTTTTCATTTAATTAATTGTACGACAATTAAATTGCATCTCGAGATATGAAACGAGAATCATTTTAAATCAACTCATTTTAAAACTAAACACCAAATTAAGAGTAACCTGACCGATGCACTAAAGCAATTAAGGCCACGAGAAAGAACTAAGAACACTTCGCTATTTTCTCAAGCTTTTCCGATAAAGCCATTCCGAAAGAATGTCGATATTGCTCGCTGTTCGAATCCAGCAATTGATAAATAGTCTCATAAAACACCAAATCTTTCTTCTCATTCACAGAGGGTGAGTCGAACTGTTCGCCTACGATAGCAAAGCCCTCTATAGTCAGCTGCACACAGAATATCTTTTGTTCTTTCGTGCGCATGTTCAGATAGACTATGTCCGAATTGCAAGGCAAGGTTCCAGATATGCTCACGTGATCAACTGCGAAAGACACTTCGCGAACTGCGGCTTCTGCTTCCACTGATAACAGTCTCTCCTCCTCGCCGTCGCCAGGCGATTCGGCAAACTCCTGTGACGTCATTTTGCCAAAGTCAAATCAGGTCAAACAGCACAACAATGGGTCACACAGGTTGTTAGAAACCTAGCACCAAATCGAAGATAATGTTTTTCTTTCTTTTTCGTTTCTTTTCTTTAACGTTACGCTGCTTTTTGTAGCTTCAAGTTTTTGGGCACAATCAAAATCTCTCAGTGCACAATCGAAGGTAGAGGTTCTGGTTATGATGACAATAGTTGATCTGCTAGATTAGTTAGGCCAGCAGCACTTCATTTAAGAAACTAATCTATAAAACAACTTAAAATAACCTTTCCTCATTTTGCGCTCTTTATGCTGGGTTTGAAGCTTCATTAAAACAACTTAAAAACAATGAATAAAAAACAACTTATCGGAGCATGTGTCCAGTTTTAATTATAAAATTTTACTGCGGAATTCTCTATGACGCACCTAATTTTTGCTTCGATTTAGGCTCTCTAGAAAATTAATTTTGATTTTCTTCCTTTCCTTTCAACTGAGTCTAAGCTGATTTCAATTAGGTTAGATTTTTTTGACGCCGGTTATGTTGCAGAGGGATACAGAAACGCATGTCGCGCCTGTGTAATCAAAAGAGAAAAATCATTAAGAATCTCTTTTTGTGAAGCCATTTTCAGCAAAATAGCAGCCATTTAAGTAACTCAAATTGGCCGAGCGATACACAAAATAGTGTATCTATCTCTTTCATACACATATGGAAGACCTACTTAAGGATCGCAACACCACAAATGTCAACGATGTGCCTAACACAACAAAAAAAAAGAAAATTTGAAATATTTCTAAAGCTACAGAGGAGGTCTTCGGGAGCATTGGGTTAAAATGCAGTTCAAATTCTATCTTAAAATCTTCCATTCAGTCAACATCAAACTACAGAGGTACACTAAGCAAGAAGAACAAAAAAAAAGCCTTTATAGGCACAAAAACACTTAAATCTCCCAAAGTAGTCACGCTTGAAAAAAGCTCTTCATAATCATATGATTTCTATTCGTATTTATAGTATTTACACCACCCAGTACTACACACAATGAAAACTTAAAATCTAATCGCACTATTTAAAATTAAGACTGCGATAATATGTTGCTTTCCGAAAAACAAATTTTCAGCTTCTGCCTTCTTTGGGAACTTATTCTCTCGTTTGATTTGATTGCCAGGTTTCGTTTAAGCTACCTGTTTAATATCAAAAATATATCAACCTCGTTCTATCGAATGGGCATCAACTTTTTACAAACTACCTTCTGTTGTTTTGTTTGCAGTTGGTATCACATCCTTACATTACTAGTTGCAGTATCAAATTCTGAATCACGGGGCATTTATAACCTTTTTCAAAGAATTTCACACAAAATATTTGCCAGAGGAGACTTATTCAAATGATGACACTGTCTAATGGCGAATTAAGTCAAATGCCCAGCAGCTATTGATTTATAGACTTAGCAGCATATTCCAAATTAGACATGCAATTGGGCATTGCTACTTTCTCTCCTAGGTGTAATTTTATCACAACTTGCCAGCAGGAATCACCAGAAGCTCCAACTAGCCGATTTGTCTTCAGACCGAACTTAAGAGCAGTTCCAATTAAAATGATTACCTTACAGATTTATAACAAAAAACAGCAGCTCTATCATATACTACAACTTTTATTGCAGTCAAAAACGTCCAAAAACGATGATTAGATCTTGATATATGAAAAAAAAACATTTACGCGATTACAACCATTATTCAGATTATGAAATATGAGAGAATTGTCATTTATTGCAGGTTAATCGTCCAATCGGTGAGCGTAACTCACGTTTCGGTTTGTTCAGCTTTTCGGCTTCGTCGACCTACGAATGACTTGATTTTTCTTTTTCTGTCCTTGCAAACACCTTTTTTCACTTCTAGTGCTTACAAGTACAACAGCCTCCTGTCATAAGAAAGGACTCTACAACTTGAGAAAAAAGAGATGAACCCAACCCCTAGTTAGGTTACCTCGAGCCGTCCAATCTCAATTCAAACTTTCTTTTCTATTCCATCCCCCTTCCTCGCCCTCACAGCTCCCATCAACTTTACTATTTTTCTTACTTATTCTTTTCATCAGTTCACAGCCTGCCACTATCATTGCTCAATGCCCAATGAGCCCAAATGTATCTCTATCTCTTTTCTCCCTCCTCTCCCTAAGTGCCTTATCAATTTCACTCCACCTTAACTTTGTCTTCTCTACTGCTACTGCTGCCATATATCAGCCGTGACTGACCTCATCCGCCCAAACAACTCAAACACCAACTCAACTCAATTGAATTGGCCAAGTCAAGAAGCTAACAAGCTCAAGGCTACACACAGTCTATTAGTCTGTATATTCCTTCCTTTAATCAGTTAATATTTTCCTAGTCAGTCTAACAGTTAAAGCCATATATCAATTTCTAGCTTTCTCACTTCTTTAATGGTAATTAGACATCACACGAGATTTATTTTTTCAGATATTTTAGAAAATTTTCGGTCAAATATTTATTATTCTGACAACTCTCGGAAGATGAGAAGAGCTATGACCTAAGGTGGCTTTTTTCCAGCCGAGTTAAGGTACTTCAAGGAAACCTCGCAGAAGTTTTAGAGTGGCATCATACTAAATCCCTTTACTTGTGTTTCAGTTTCTAAAACGAAAATTCAAAAAGTTTTCTTTTTTACTTTATTGTTGATATTACCAGATTTATAGCTTATGATGAAATTCAAATATCTCGTTAACTACAAAAAAAACGGAAGATTTGGAAACCAATTTAAAAAACACCACACCACGCAGAAAAAACCATACTAAATTGAAAAAAAAAAAAAATTTTATTATATTTTTTACAGACGCGAAACTAAGCGTCGCAAACAGTAGCGAGAACACGAGAAAAAGCAGCTCTATAAAACGCATAAGTAAAAAAAGAAACAAGCCTCGAATTAGTAAAACTTCGGCTACGTCTCGGACTCGAACTTACCACTTACTGCAACCTATAGATTAATAGTCTCACGCATTAACCACTCAGCCATAGACGCTTTATCAATGACAAACACTAGTCACAAATAAAGCAGAGAACAGATGCTATGCAATTTCCAATGCTACATCGAACTTTCCATATTGCGAGGTGAACACTTTCAATGAACGCTTTTATTTGCGAATTAGGTTAGAAAAAAGGTTCGTACTAATAAACTAACGCTCGCAAGCTCGCTCGAGTCAATTTTTTATGATAAGAAGATTCGGAACAGCAATTCGCGGCATCAATAACTGCAACTTGTACCGCAAAAAAAAACAGTAACAAAAAATACCCTTTAATAAGTTCAATGACTCGCAGTTAGAATAGAAGTCTCCGTTTTTTGAATATAAAACGCCGACTAAGATTTTTTAAATGACCGGTTTTAAAGTTAAATTGAAGTTACCGGTTATAAAATAACCAGCTCTCATATTGAAGGATCTTTGCCACCGCACGATACACATGACGCGCTGAACAGATTTCCCCCAAATAAATGGTCGTTCCGGTTCTATTTCCCCTTTTCCGGTTCACTTCAATTGTGGAAACACTCTATCCTATGATACATATGCTCATAAATTTAACTGAACAGATCAAAGGGTCTTCCGTATTGTTTGATGGGACCTTACTTCTTCTCTATTTAGAATCTGCAAACGCCATAAACCAAGCACGACTACCGCCGCTGCATACTTTGCAAACAGCAACCATCCCAACTCCATGCATTAAGCTTCTACTTCTTACCAAAATCAACGAAGCGGTTCGACAACATGCTGATGAATATTTTACTCTTCATTAGTCAGACGATCAAAAAACCATCTATTTCATGGAAGAAGTGTCAAGAAAAATGCCAATCAAAACCAACGTATCCAAGTTGTGCTGTGCAAACTTGAAGCTACATCACATTGACAACGTCACTTTATTAGAAACTTGAACGGAAGTCAAAACTAAGGTAAAAGAAAACTTTTTACCGCGTCTTATAGTAATAATACCATTTCGGAAACTGGTTTACGGGTTATATCAATGCAATCACTGTGAATTGACGTCGCAGTGAACTTACTTTAGACAAATTTGGGCGGGGATAACGGAAAAAAATCTAGCGTCATTTTATAAGTAAGAGAACTCCTGATAATTTAGCCCAGATGAAGACCCCGGTGAAGTTTGCGAATGCCGCGGCTGCCAAAGCAGGAAGTTTCGCCTCGGACGACCAGAAGCGACATGGAGTGGTGCTATCACTCGCCACCTTCGCTGTTCTCTATCTCGGCATAGGGTTCCAGGTAAGCGGCCAGCCTCAAATTCAAAATTAATATCAGTACCACGGTAATATTAACAAACTATTAACAAGGATAGTCGGTTACTGTGCAAGTAGTACAGAATGTTCCGACCATGCTCTTTAGAAAACTACGGTTTAGAAACGTGTTTTTTTTCCAAATTAGTGTAGTTTTTTCTCCTTGGTGTGATTAAAGAATCTGACATAAAAATATAATTTGGCATATTATATTACAGTCATAGTAATATAGGCAAATTGGACAAAAATTTTTGTTAAAAAAATGACTGAAAAAAAAACTAAAAAATTGCAGAAAATTTTTGGTTCACAAAATGAAGCTAAAATACTCCAAAAACTAAAACTAGTTTTACTTGCTTAATATTAAGTTTTAAGGTCTTAAATTAGGCATAATTCGGCTGTTGTAAGCCTGATCGCTTGCTTTATTTGCTCGAATTAAGACGAAAAATCAAACAAAAATTTCCAAACCGGTTTTTCTCGACACTGGGAAAATTTTTTGGATGATTATTTGTGGTACCTGATTTTGCGCGGAAAAAAAACTTAAACACACCCGAATACATAATACCTTTCCATTTTTCAAATGGTCGGAACAATTACTATTCTTTATCATATTAACAAAAAACTTTCAATATCAATATTATTAAAACTAATATCAGTTAACTACGTTTTGTTTTTCGTAAACTTTTGAGCTAAAATTGTAGCACCGACGACTTTCTCGTTTCAAAAATTGGCGCATTACTAGAAATTCTAGACCTTATGTTAAAATCCAAGTCAGAACAGCCATTCTGTCTTAAGGCTGACCGTTAATAACCCAAACAAACCAGATCAATTCAATTCAAATTAAAGAAATGAATATGACAAAAGGCGCTGATTTGATAATCAGAATTGTAAAAAGGCAGAAGATTAACATATGAGCTGTTCAAGTCTCGTCTTGGAAACACTTTATGTCCTCAAAAGAACAAGCAGACTTGGGTAAATAAAACGTTTCTCTCTTTTGTTAGCTATAGCCACAGTCATTCACCGCCTCCTCTATCTATCAACATAGACTGACCAAATACCATATATTCATGACATGAATTGTCAGACAAGCGATATTCACAAGAACGGTAAAATCATGAAAATTGTTCATATAACAAATGTTCAGAATATACATTAGTTTGACTTCTTGAAAAAGGCAACAAATCTGACAATTTAAGATACAATGACTCAGTCAACCCTAACTACCATACATGTATATTGCTGCTATTTTTTGGTTCTTTTCAGCTGACACTGCAGAGCATCATGATAATCCCAGTGGCAAAGATGTACTCTACTGACCTGTGGCAGTCTGCTCTAGCGCTCTCCATATTCCACCTCGCATTCGCCATCAGTCAGTTCTAAGTGCCTCTCGTTCTCAATTAATACAACCTCTTCTATCTTTTTTTTCTAATTAACTAAGAATCCATGGGCGAAAACTACCTAATAAGGATATTTTCTGATCACATATCAACGCGCACGCCCAGAAAATAAATCTGTTCACCCGCACAGAAAAGAACTCAATTGGTGCCACTCGACAAAAATGCACAGACTTTCTTAATAAACCTATTTCTGAGCTGAATGTTTAACAAGCTTAGGTCATCGTTTCAGCAAATCAACTAAGAGTTTTTAGTCTCGCGGCATAAACACTTTGATTTGCAGCCTATTGGGTGACGCCTCTGACTAGTCGACTGGGTTTGCGGAATGTGACAATAGCGTCTGGACTGCTGGTCACGTTCGGAAGGGCAGTCATCACCCTCTGCCCTTCCCTCCCCTTTCTATACCCAGCATCCATATGTGCAGGTACGCAAAAAGCGAAACACATTCAACAGCCGCTCTCAACGAATAGCTTTGCTTACATTCTTGCTGTTTTTTTTGCAGTTGAAAGGTCAGATTTGGCGCTAAGTTTCAACCAATGTCAAAACAAAATGATAATCCTGAACGCCAAGTAATGTTTGCTTTTTCATAGGCATCGGAACTATCTTTCTTCACTACAATGCCATCATCCTCCTCAACTATCACTACAAGTACAGTGAGAACCTTTCAGTGGCCATGGGATTTGCGCTGTGTGGGCAACCGGTGGCCATAATGACCACTCCTTTCATTCTCTACTGGCTGCAGAAACACATCGGATGGACCGGCGCCTCTCTAACATGTGGCGCCTCCAGCTTCGTTTTAGTCCTAGTCGCTTTGATCCTCAAACCACACGAGGAGAAAGCAACATCAGCACCTCCTGACTTATCATCCATCATTCAGACACCTCGCGCCAGAAGCCGACTACAGCCGAATGAGAGCTGCAACTCGGCTTGTAACAATTTCATCGGCAAAATGACGACAACTGCAAACCCGAGAGAAGAACGGAACTCAAGTGATGATGAAGACTCAACCAACCCTGATGATCTGAAAGCAGCATTGGAATCTTTGGAAAATTTACCGCCGCAAATTTTTGTGACTACCGCCCCAGTTCCCTCAGAAATCGTCGTTCAAAACGATGGTGCTACTCAGAACTCGCCTCAATTTTCATGCATACATACCCGAGTCACAGAAGCAGTCAAGAGTTCAGCTGGAGAAACAATTTATGAAGAAGAAGAAGATAACTATTCAAGTAAATCTATGAGTGAAAACTCAGGCAGTCTTAACAGTTCGGACGACGAAAGACAAAAATCAGACCTTTCTTACACAGCTCCTGATGGGAATTTAGAGACAAAAAATGAACATCAAATTGACACCAGCTATGAAAACCCTGAAAACTATCCGAGTATGAATGTTGTGACATCTGCCAATCAAGAATGGACTGACAACAATGATGACACAGAGAATTGCAAAACGTCCGACGGAAGCTCGGCCATGTCAAACAAGTCGCTCGGTTCCAAGTCTGAAGAGAACATAAGCACCATGCTTCCAATTTTGACCACGACAAATAATTCAAACAATCAGTCGAACTCATCGTTGGACCATCAAAACCAGTATCAATTTCAAAACGGGAACAAAAATACGATCAACAACAGCGATCCTGGAAGACGACGAGGTCTTTTATCTGTGAGTTTTGACCAATTTGGAGGAAGTGAAATTTCGATGCATAGGTCGAGAAGCTACGAAGACTCTTTCAAATCTTCCAATCCTCGTTTAAGCACACTGGAAGTTCCTAATCAGGTGACCGTTAAACGAGTTCGTTCTGCCGACGACGTTCAAGATCGAATGAAACTTTTCCAGAAAAATCAAAGCAGCAAAAAATCAGGCGGTCGAGGTTATGGCAAACGAGCGCAAGCAAGGCGGGAGACGCTAGCGTTTGTTATCAAAGCTTCAGGTCTAACAGCTGAAAGACGCGAAACACTAGCTAACATTGCTACCAAACCCTTTCAGAGCAACAGGCGAGATAGCGTAAGAGCTTTCAGTGGAGTTACTGTTCCTGAAATCTTAGTGGCCGCCACCTTCCGAGGCATGTGGATCAAAACATCCAGTGGACTCCACGAGATCCAAGCACAGAAATTGGAATGGCTCCGGCAGAAAACAGTGAAACGAGAACGAAAGGTAGCTTTGAAGAATCCTCGCATTTGGGTGTATGGCTTGATTACTTTTCTATTGCGAGCTGCCTTCGCCATGATTCTCGTCTACATTCCCACCAAGCAACTAATTCTCTCCGATGACGTAATCAGCATCGGAATGTTTTCCACGATGTTCTGTCTAGGTATGAGTAGGCATCATCATTACTTTACGTCGTATCAGTATCAACTTCTATAAATTATGCATATTAGCACTAATATTATGAGCAACAACGTTCTATAGCTGGTCACTGTCCAGAATCATAGCCTTTAACCTAATTAACTTTTAGTAAATACAAAAAAAAGAAAAGGCGCCATGTCTGGTATCCTTTCTAGGTTTGGGTGCTCTGACTGGTCGCATTCTGTTGGGCATGCTGGCCGACTGGGAACACTGTGATCGAGTGGTGCTCAACTTCGGCTGCTGCCTCCTCGCCGGACTCATCTCCATTGCCAGGGGATCCCTACAACTAGGTTAATCCACACTCTCACCCTCCGTTACAAATTGCAGATACCAGAACTCACGCCAAACAATATTCACGAATAAACGGACAAAAAGTGACAGATTTTAAAAAAATTCGTCTCACAAAAAAGAATCATTTCAAATATTCAAGCAATGAGGTGGTTTTCTTTCAAGACAGTCTTTCAGCCAGTTTTTGCAAAAATTTCCTTAACAAATTCTAACAAACGCTTTTGAGAAGTCCAATTGACTATTCCTCTATGGTTTTGACGACACATTTATCTAAAAAATCATTCATGTCTCAGGCGCCGATCACGAGATATTGCACGTTCTAATTTTTAATCTAGTTTAGCAAATAATCTGAAACAAATTACGCAAGCTTGTATGATAGCCCTTTGTCGCACGAAGTTTATTTTGCCTTAAGTAAACATTAAAATTAAGAAAACATTAAAACTGATAAAGTAACGCAAAACGTGTGATGACATAGGCGTGGACCACGAGATGTTGCAGCGGGTACTGTCTCTGTCGGTGGCCTTCCTCAGTGCCACTTCTTTCCTCCTCTACTCAGTACACGTCATAGAGATCATCCCCGGCAACCAACAGGAACACGTCACATTCATACTCAGAATCATGGATACGTTCCAGGTGAGAATGCAGATGCTACACGCCACAACTAACAATCCAATAGCGATTTTTCTTTTGTCTTGTCACCCCGTACATATTAATTTAGTTTACTCGGGTTAGCCTCATAGAACGGAATGGAAACTTTTTAAACGCAACGTTTTCTATTAGTTGAACTACCTAGTCATAAAAACGTTTTTCCAGGCACTTGGCTACGTCATCGGTCCAGTGATAGCCGGCGCCTGCTTCACCAACCTGGAAAACGACCACTGGATCTTAAGTCTCACTGGCATTTTCCTCTCCACCGGTGCCTTCCTGTTGCTCCTGGTCAGCAAATGGATGCCCCCTGTCGACCCTCAAAGCATGAAGTCTGAATCGGAGCAGGAGGAATCACAAAACGATGATCCGGATCCTAATTTTGAAAACCCAAATGAGATCATAGGGATCCCAAATGACATCCAGGATCCCAAGTGACGTCCAGGATCCCGAGTGACGTTCAGGATCCCAAGTGACGTTCAGGATCCCAAATGTATAGATCAAAAAAATCTAAACTCGAACTCTCTTCAAACTTAAAATTTAGCATCAAATGCGGCCATCATGAAAACAATCTTCGGAAACAGACTGATTACAATATCTCAATTTACTACAACGATTCACTCATGCATTCGACTTCTGCAGAGTCGAAAAAAAAACTTGCTCTATCTTAACTTGTTAGACAGAAAAGCACCATCGAAAATACCGTTGCAATAGTGTGATCGGTCATTCTAACCATAAAACTGTAAATAAAACTTTTACAAGATGCCTAGAAATTCGTTTTAACTTGCAATTTATATCTTTAACTTCATCGTTATTTTAACACTGAGCTGGCAATTGTTTGTAGAATGATGCAATTCGAGTCAGGAAAAGTAAACTATACACTTCAGTATCTTCGTGACGCTAAAAACCGTTAAAAACTGAATAAAACAAAAGCATTCTATTATACAGACAAGTTTGCGTCAATAAATATATTCGACCAGAACTATCCAAAAAAGTGTTGCAAATGTACTGCAAAATAATCAGATAAGAAACAAGAATTAGGACAATAGGTTTATGCTGGATGAAGGCAGCAGCCAAATTCATCAAAATTCGTAGCCTTTTAAAATTTATTTGACTTTTCGTGGCTGCGATGAAGTATAGAAAAAACGAGAATCAGGCAACAATGGCTTATAGACGATGAACAAGCAAGTGCAAATTGAACCAGAACAAACCAAAACAGAGAAAAAAGTGATTTTTCTTTAAAAAAAAATGCAAAAACTTAAAACAATAACATCACATCAAAACTCTTTGAAGTCTAAAAAAAATTATGATTGCCTTTTTAAAAATCAAACTATCCGAATTGTTGGCGTTGGGGCGCTCCAGTCGTGAAGTCCAGCAATCATATAATTGCTGCCTCAACTCGCACATGCGCTGCAATTGCAAGGTGAGTTCTTGTAAGTAAGTCATAGCTTAATGGGTGCTGATTATATGCGCTCGTCAACCTAAACAATTATTTTAAAAATTATTTTAAAAAAATTGAAACGAATGCGTCAATAGGTGTTTTTTTATTCCACTGTGAAATTTCAAATGAAAATGCTGCTATATGTTTCTGCGCCACTTCCACATTCGAAATTTGAGATTGTAATTTTCCTTCCTTTAGCAAATAAAACTGAATTGAACCTAAAAAAAATCAAATGCCAAGCTGCGAAAAATCAAAGTTGCGCGGGATCAAATTTCAAAAATTTCTCCTAAAAAAAAAAGACTTTAAAAAGGTCTTCACTCCGATTATTGAAATTTGAAACAAAAAGTTAAAACTTTGCCAGCGCAACGTAAGCCATGTATTAAACAATTCAGTAAAGAAAAAATTGATGATTTTATGAATGTTTTTTTTTTTAAATATTTATATTTAAAGATGGACGTTTATTGCTTTATATTAAACTACAGTTTTTCCGTAAACACAAGCGCAAACAACTAATCGAATTTGACTTATAGGAAAATCGTTAGAACGGATGCTACAAAATACCGATTAGCAACACCTCTGTTCGCAGCCTTCTGGTTAGTCTATAAAATTATCCAAGTAAGACAATTATGAAAGAGACCTGACAAAAAAATAACCAGCAGAAAATTGCGCGAAATTTTGGGAGAATATACACTTGTTGTACAATTTGTTTAAGAAGCTCAAACTCGTAGCCTGTTCTGCATTTGACCAGGTAGTTCTAAGAGTAATTTTTGATTGACTGAAAGATGCCAACAACGCGTTCAGACAATTCGGTCACAGACAATTCAGCCAATTTCAAATTCAGACAATTAAGTCAAAATGAGTGAGACAGTTCAACCAAAGGCTATTAAGACAGTTTTAAAATTTCAAAACGTGCGCGCAAAAACTTTTCACATGCGGCAAAACATCAAAGCTTTCATTAGGCAACTTATAATCAATTCCTTTCAAATGCACATAAAACAAATCAAAATAACAGAACTAAAAGTACCGAAACATGATAAAAATTTATGCAACTCATTATGTTTCCAATTTTAGAATAGTAGCTAAGCAAAAATCGAACTGAACAAAAAACTGTACAAAACTTAAAAGTTAACCAATTTACACGAAAGCAGACCCCAAATTGCGAATTTTAAAGGCGGTTAAAAAAGTTATCAGTTAAAGGGTTGATCACTCCTACCACGTATTGGCCACACAGTTACGCTGATATTCTTATCATGCCTTAGGCGGGGGAGGGTGCAACCCCCTATCAGGTAAATTGGGTAGTTGGTTGAAACTAATTTGAAACTTAAACTTCTGTAAAAGATTAACTAAAATATTGTCCAACCAGAAACCAGTACCGCGTTTAACGCCTCTTTTTTGCAGTTAGATGGTCCATTTATACAATTAACATTGGATAATCTTCATTATTAACTACCTTGAACAACTGGTTGATTAGTATCTGAATCATTTAGCAAAAGTTGACTTAAAATGGAATTCGTATTATCTGAACGCAGAAAAAAGCATTTTTGTCTGGATGGTTTTTGATACCATGAAAAAAACCAACTTAAAAACGGTCTGATTAAATGACAATGTACATTTGGAAATTGCAGAGCAGCGGGTTATTTGGACGAACAGCAAGAATTCGCCTTAAAAACCGAGCACGCTCATTTACCGAGCCCCTCAAAAATTCAAGCTAAGATAATTGCTAACGAAGTTCGAGAAAAAGCCGCAAACACTGGTAACGCTCCCCGACAGATTGTCTTCAACGCCCAAATTGACCTGCCTCTTTATGCAGCGCCGACAATACCGAGTTACTCAACATCTCTTTGGAATATAAACTGAATCAGGCAGCAAGCTTCAGAAACAACGCCAAAACCAAAAAACCTTGAGAGCGTCGACGACATTCCTGAACCTCTCAAACTCACACAGAGCGGTTATACGTTCCTATATTTTCATTCTGTTTATTGGCTGGCCACCCTAAACACCTAAAACTAAGCAAACTCGGTAACTACTAAGTTGCTTAATCCGCTTTGTCATATAGAAACTCGTGATAAAAAATCAGCGGCTAGACTTAAGCCAAAACGACAATATAATTTTCTCAAACGCTTCAATATTCTACACGGACACGAGGCAAAATATTCTACACTGACAGGAGGCAGACCAAAAATGAGACGCGAATCATTAAGTCGAGGCAGCTATTTAAAAAAAAAACTACATCTACAAAAATTCAAACATTTGTCTCAAATGATCTTCAATTTGAAGAAAGCCTGTCAAGAAACACAATCATCTCTGTTTGCAAAGCGTTCAAAATCATTTTTCGGGAGGCATGTAAGTCTACAATACTATGATAGACACCAGTGTTGAGCAGAAAAGTTAAATAAAAAAAACTTAAGCTTGAAATCTAATTACAAAAATATGAATAACTAAATTACAGCGTTAGTTAACTTACAAATTACAGAAAGACTTTCCTTTAAAGTTAAAATACCTTGCATAAGAAGAAAAATCAAGCTCTAAAGAAAAAATCTGCATGCTTTTGACAGAAAATTGACGAAAATAAGAAAATAAACGATAGTCTCGTAATTCAAGTCTCCCAAAAAGTGAGTTCCATATATCGAAGAAAAACAAGGGGCAGCCGTGACTCTGACCATAGACCTTGAGATGCAGGCGCGTGCATTAACTATAGACCAAGTAAGAAGTGGCCTATAAAATGAAGCCAGTTCAAAAGTTTCTACAAATCAAATTCAGATTCAAAAAAAATTGTTAAAAAAAGTTGTTTGCGGGTAAAATTATAGCTCCCTAAAAACAGTACATTTGTTCTCACAAGTGAAAGTATTAATCAATTCCTCAGAGCCAGGATTCCGTTGAATGTTCAAATTTCAGGTATTTGAGGCAGCTGGTGACACAGATTTTTGCCTTCCATTTGGCATAAGATGAGTTTCAAAAGAAATCATAGATCAATCCGAATGAATTCAAAAAAAATTCACTCGAACAACATTTGTTAATGGCGCGTGCAGAAACTTTCTTCATTCAGATAAACGAACCATAGATGTGAAGACGCTCTTGACAAACCTCACCAAAAAGTTAAGAACAAAAACTAAATTACAATCCAATATAAGAAGAGCACTGAGCACAATCTTGTAACTCAAAAAAATATTCAGTTACAAGATAGTGAATAAAAAAAGACTTCATGTTTCTATTGGATGAAATTCATTAGCAGCCTTGAAAATTATTGGGAATCATAATTCCCAGTTGCAACTGAGGCCACAAAATTTACGTCAATTACTGTTCAGCCGAAAACAAAACTGTGGTCACAAAAGTTTTCACCGCCAATCCGTACTGAAACACACAAAAGAACAAATTTGCCTTCAAAACAAAATTTAAGGCGTTTGAGCCAATATACCGAAAGCCGAAACCGTTTAGTTGAAAACAAAGTTACTGTTGCAGTCAGATAGTCGTTGTTTCGAGGCGCTGGAATATCTCAAGTGTTTCGAGACGTTGTTTCGATGCGCCTGGGCTGTTCATTACTCCTGAGAATGGAGACTGAGTTGAGGCTGATTTGATTTGGCGTTCGGTACTCAAGGGTATGGAGATTGATTTAGTCTAGGGAGAGTGACCGAAGATTAGAGTAGCTTCAATGTTGAAACTTAGCTATATTAACGGCCTCGGTTCTTAGATCTTGTACCGTAGATGTGGTGGGTGAATTTTTGAACTTGAAAAGATGTATTGAGTCTTGTGGCCCATATTTACATGTGCGGCATTTGCTTTCAATGCTTGGGTCGCCCCGGTCGAGGTAGCTATTGAGGTATGGGAGCAACCAGAGCAGAGCTGTGCAAGCGTGCTCCTAGCCTCACCCTAATTTTTTTTTTCATTTCAGTTACTTTCTGGTGATTTCTCTTAAGAGAGCTTTGAAGTGATGTTGGTGGACTCTGGAACGGTGTTAGAGTAGCTGTTTAATACGTTGTTTGTATTCTTTAATATCAATTTCTTCGTTATTGTTTTTTCTTATAGCAGAGATCTCCATGATAATTGCGTCTGAGAGTTCGTTTCATATTTCTGTGATTTTTAAGTTGAACTTAGAGTTCCTTTTGAGCAACGCTATTTGGTGCTTGCCAAACTGTATAAATTTTTCGTGTTTGGGATTTTTTACAATTTTACCGCAATGGGGGCAAAAGACAACATAAATAAAATAAATCGAATTCAGTCTTGTTATCTTAACAAATTACAGATTTTAGCAGAAGCTGTGTAAATCAAAACAAAACCCATGTTTTGGAAAAACTCATTACAGAAACGAACCTTACCAGATAAAATAAATGGCTTGCTACAAACAATGGAACTTGTTTACAACACAAGGAAAAAACCCGTGATGTGGCACCTAAGCCGACAAAACTTGAGCAGACAATCGAAATTCCGACAATTCAATTTCATACATACTGAAAAAATAGGGTCCGGTCGTGACTCCAACCCCATAACGTCCGGTGTAAAGGCAACCGCGTTGCCTCTAGGCCAAGTGGGAAGGAACCTGGAAGTCGTTCAGGTTCAATTATATAGCAAGCTCAAACTGTTAACAGATTTGTAAGATTATTTACGGTAAAAACTGTAATTACCGACCAATCTTGATTTTCAAAATTACATAAGAATTTTTTGAGTCCAAAAATAAGCCAACGTGATATAATAGTGAAAGATTTAGAACCATGCACCAAAAACGAAAATCAAATGCAAACTCAGCAGCAGACTAAAAACAACTCACCGAATCAGAAAAAGCCTCAAATCTTAGCGCGGAGGGGAGGAACAATTTAGGGATAGTAAAATTTAAATACGTAGCACATTGACGTTTTGATGGCCAGTATCCTGAATGTATCTTATCAGTTTTTGGCCATATGATCCACTTTGCCAATTGCTGAGAACAAAATCGCGGTTCTTACAATCCTATGCTTTCGCAATTTAAAAAAAGGTTACATAGCAGTATTTAGACAACAGCGTTTTCATACTTGTCAGTAAGCAGACAAATACTATATTAACCAATCAGAATCGAGACAATGCAGAATCTTATAATGAATAATGATTTATTTCTCAAGTTTGCTTTCTCATCTCGATTCTGATTGGTTGAAATGATATTTGTCTGCTTACTGACGAGTATGTATACGCGGTTGTCTAAATACAGGCCGTACTCCGGGAAAAATCCGCAATTAATCCTTCAAAACTACGTGGTTGCTCTTCACTACCATTTTTTTATTCATTGCATCTTTTATTCACTTCCACACAGTATTGGTGACGAAAACTCAACTTCTTCTGGAAAACTTTTCAAGCTTCAAAAGCGAATGAGTTGCAAATTTATGAATTTAGTGTCGGAAATAATAAAGAACAAGCAAGACTAAATACTGACAATGTAAGAAGCGTCATTTTACCTATAAACTATACACTATTTCACACTATCGAGCTATGCAGTCATCTCTTCATAAAAGAATAAACGAATTACATGGATTCTTGGAAAGGCTGCTGAGAAATACTGATTATTGTCGTGTCAGCAAATCTGGATGTGAACACCTGTGATCTGTGTTGGGGTAGCAAGACATAGGATATTTTGTTATCTGTTAGAAAAATACGTCTCTGAAATCTGACTCGATCTCTGGCCATCATTTCCCACGGTGATTTTCGACTGCTACCGCTTGGTTGAGGAGGGGAATATATTGTTCCTGATTTACTGGGGGAATTATTTCTGCTGCAATTCGCAAAACTGTCTGCTTGGTTTTCGTCGTCTGTTTCTTCCAAGAAGTGAGTTGTTTCCAACTTTTCAGAGGTCGACGGAAAATGAACCTAAAATTAAATCCGCTTTTTCTAGTACCTGCATATTGATATCGATCATTGTTTCAAAAATATATAAAATGAAAAGCTTGGTAGAACACAAATTATGCGATGTACAATCAATTGTAACAACGGTTACATATCAATTTGCCCTGTGCCAGCTTGTCTCAAGTTTAAGTTCGCTCCAGATTCTTTCTGAGGTCGGCATTTCCGTATATAATAGTTTTTCCCCTTATAATAAAATGATTTATTTTAATTCTTAACCAATGATTGTTAAGTCGTAGGTTCCGAAAAAAAAACGTTTGTCTAAAGATGTCCATTTAAAAGACGCAAATTCAAGTTTAAAAATTAAAATTGTTCAAGAAAATTATACACAGAGGCGAAGCTTCGCTACGCAAACACTAGCGAGAACAGGGCAAAAAGTAGCTCTATAAGGTGCAATAAGTAAAATTTGAAATAAGCCCCGAATTAGTAAAAAAAATTGGTAACGTCTCAGGTTCCAACCTGCGACCTGGAGATTATAAGTCTCACACACTAACATATCAGCCCATGAGGCGACAATTCGTAACATGCGACGATTCGTAACAAGCGACGATTCATAATTTTTTGAAGGGCGACAATTCGTAACAAGCGAAGATTCGTAACACTTAATTGCTGATATGGGGGATTAAAAATAGCGTCCGAATTGTTAATTGCAATTGTTGTGGGGGATTAAATTTTTGATTCTCACTTGTTAATTACATCCACAAGTTTATTGAATTTATTCGGCGAGAACTAAGCTTAGCTGAGAATCAGCTAGTGAGAATAAGATCCGGAGAAAAGGCATCAAAGATAGGGAAATACGAAAAAGCGCAGTTAAGATTATCTGAGATATTGAAAAACGATCAGAATAATCAATTAGTAATATACAACACAGACTAGCTTTTAACTTTGATTTCTGTAATTCCTTTTATGTTAATTCAGTTTCCGATAAATTCTTTCAATAGTTACACATCAAACAAAACATTGATACGAGTCGTCGCTTAATACGAATTGTCGCCCAACCCACTCAGCCAAACGCATAATAGGCATCAAACACTAGCCTAGCCACAAATAAAGCAGAGAACATACGATATGCAATTTCGAATGCTACAGTGAAATTTCCAAATAAGAGAACACTTTTATTTGCGAGTTAGGATAGAAAAAAAAACTGTTTGGAAGAATACACTACCCTGATCGCCAGTGTAAAAACAGCTGGGATCAATTTCAATTTTTCCAAACCTATTTAACCTTTTCTTAAACAATTTAAAAATTTCTGGAATCTGTTTTCTAGCAGTTTCTTGCCAATTTAGGGTACTTTTTACAATTTTGAAAAAAAGAACTAATTTTTCCGCGAAAACTCATTGTTTGCATTTTTCGCAAAACTGTGAAAGTAACTGACACAAATAAACTGTGTACCTTGGCGTCGGATTGAATACCGCTCGTGCAATTTAACTTTTTTGACATAAAACTGCTCAATTTAAATCAAAATCTAATAGTTTTGCATTTAAATAAGGGCTCATAGTTTTGCATTTAATTAATTGAAGTTTTAAGAAAAATCTAAATTAGTTATAGATGCTTTTTTTAATGGACATCACTGCCTAAATCTTTAAATTGTTAAAATTAATTAGTTAATATGAATTATACTTTGAAATTATACTTTGACAATTTGATATCACAGGGTCATTGAGATGACGACCTACAGGTCACGTTATTTATCCTTTTTCCAAGTTTCGCTTTATGGTGTAGACGAAATTTCGAATATTATTACTTTACTGGCCTCGGCAAACTTGAACTTTCTTTCTGCATACCAATTCTATCGCAGTTAAATTTTGGCAGCCATGGGGGTTTTTTACTCTTGAAAACCTTCGATTCAGTTTTCAGTGAATTACAGAAAACAATGTCTTACGGTTCTTTGATGTGAAGCTTTCAGAAGTCGCTTCCGACTGTCCACACAAAATGAACACTTCAGAATCGTATCTGCACTACAGAAACATTGGATTAGTTCATTTCCATCTGCTGTTCCGTTAGCTGACAGTAGCAGAGCACCACTGAGAGAAGGCGGAGAAATCGCACTGGACGGGGCAGCCGAAGCTGCCGCTTTGATCTTCGACTGAGAGGACCTGGAACAAAGCCAACATATTGATTATGAAATCATACTTCTGTTTCTGCGAAAATTCGTAATATGAATGCATGAAGCGATAAATAATGACAAGCAGACAAATTACAAAAAAAACTTCAATAAATGAAATACGCCAGCGGATTTTCTTTTGCCTGAGGGAAAACGAAAACATGGCCAACAGACAGTTGGAAAAAAGTCAATGAACCAAGTAAACAGAGAAAAAATACCGATTTATTTTATGAAAAAATCTTTTCAAAAATTAAATTATCGAATTTCGAAAACAAAAATAGATGGCCTTAAAACTCTTTGAATTTCTAGAACAATTTATCTTTACACATTTGAGATAAATAACCAAATTTGAGAAAACTGGATCATTAAGTACTAAATTCCACCTTCGAAACTAGAAGTCTATCACGTTTTTCGTGCCCTTTATACTTTCGCTGTTCGATAGCGGAGTTTGCCTTTCTTTTACACAGAGGCGAAGCTGCGCTTCGCAAACACTAGCAAGAACATAACAAAAAGCAGCTCTATAAATTGCGAAAGGAAAAAATTGAAATTAGCCTCGAATTATTAAAAATCGACCGTACGACCTAGAGATATGAATCTCACGCACTAACCACTCAGCCACGGACGCTTAATTATTGAAAAACACTAGCCACAAATGAAGAGGAGAACAGATGCTAAATCAATTTCCAACGCTTCAATGAAATTTCCATATAAGTGACGTGAACACTTTCAATGAACACTTTTATTTGTCCTAATTTTATTTGTCCTTTTACTTGTCCTAACGGAAACGAACTGACTTCAAATGAAATCAAAATCACACCGGGAAGAAGTAAATTTGATCCTGAACAAATTTTAAGATTTTTCCTGTAAAAAAATGAAAACCATCGCGACCTATATAAGAGTCTGAATAACGATCATTGACTCTTAAAAAAGCCAACAAACAGTCGAGAAAAAATTCTTCGATAAGTGAAATTAGACGGCAAGCGAAATAAGACGTGACAAGAAAAATGAACAAAAAAAAGCAACAAGTATAGCCGGTTGTTGTGCAAGTAGCACAGAATGTTCCGACCATATTCATAAAACATAGAAAAATACCATATTCATAATCATAGAAAAAATTTTCTTCAAATTAGTGTCATTTTTAGTGGGTTCTAGAACTATGCTACAGAATTAGAGAATAATTGAATTAGGCATGATCGACAAACTTTGTTCTCAAAAAATGAATACCAAACAAAACACGAAAAAAAACTCAATCAACTTTTTTATAAATTTTTTAATGAATCGTATCAAGTTTTTTTGTTAAAATCTTTATTGGCAAATAAGCGCTAAAAACATCCAAAAATTGTTTTCTTACTAGTAGAAACAAGTATTGTGTGCCTTTTATATATAAAAAAGTTATTTTCCATATATCAAACGTTACTCGATCGTGTTTTTCGCTGGAAATTGAACTGAATCAAAAATTTCAAACAAGTTTTTCTCGACACTGGGAGAACTTTTTGGAAATTTTAAAAAGTTTTTCGAATCACGACTGAAAGGATTTAATATGATATAACACTCGACTCTCTCCGATACTTATGTGATAGCTGATTTTGCGTGGAAAAAAAAGGAAAAAACGAAACCACATCCAAATTTCACTGGTCGCAACAATTACGGGAAACTAGACGCAATTTATTTTTATAATGACTCAAATTTGTTTACTGAGTATAATTAATTTTCGTTCGAGCATCCTTAAGTCCAAATCAATTTTTCACGAGACAATTGTATAATTTATGCATTTCGAAAATGTTTGATTATATTCAGATGTTTTATAAATCATTTCGAACCCAGAGGCAAAGCGTAGCTCCGCATCACTTTCAATATCATGAAAGCGCAGAACTGTAAGCTAGCAAAACGTAAAAGTACGGAAAACATAAGATGGAATGTTAGAAATTTGAGAAAATCCAAAACTTTGAGAAACTAAAATAATTTGAGAAAAACAGTCGAAAACACAACCAACCGTATTAATTGAGCTTATAGCTTTTCCACTAAGCCGACAACAAGTAGTACGACGCCCATTTAGCCGACGCCAATTAAAGATAAGCCGAAACCATTTAGGTTATTATAAATTTTTAAGCGAAAAAAAAATGACAACCAATGAAAAAGGAAAAAACGTCAGGGCTATTAATTATTTTACAAATTACAGGATTACAAAAAAAACTTGCAATTACCATGAAATTTGCAGGCGACACAAAAAAATCCCGATGTGGAAACTCATCCGACAAAACATAAGCAGACTAACGGTAGTCCGACAATTCATCTTTCGACGGATTTTTTTTTTCAATTTCATACGTACTGAAAAAATAAGGTCCGGCCGGGACTCGAACCTCTGACCATATGGTAAAAAGTCAACTGCGTTACCTCTAGGTCAAGTACGAAGAAGTCATCAAACTTGTTTAGGTTCGCTAATAAACCAACTTCACAATTTCTTACTAATGTGTGTGAAAAGTTGTTTTCGGGAAAAAATCTAGTTCCCGATTACAAGACAGTTGCTATCGTCAGCGTAACAAATGCTTTGATATGGAATGGGATTTATACTCATTTTGTACTCGAGAATTTCATTTTCAGCAATAAGTTTTGCTTTTCGTCCAAAATGCTTGTTTTGTAAAAAAAACAACGCTTCAATTCCATTCACTTTACTTTCTGTCCAAGTTTCTGTCACCCGCGCCAGTCCTTTTCACGCAAAAACAGTAGATGAAGCAAAACATAATGTAAATCAGAGATAATGGTTTTTTTTCGGTGGCTGTTCAAGAATAAGAGACATAGCATATAGGGGTAGTGATTTTCATATTGTGTTCTCATCAAGACTAATCATATTAACGAATCAGGTTTGCACCGTGGAATCGAAATGAATTCCTCGGTGGTATTTAAAACATCATTAGACAGTTGGACAAGAGTCAATGAATGCAAGTAAACAGATAAAAAAATAGCCAATTGTATTTTCTTATAACTTTCGAAAAATAATAGATGGTCTTAAAGCTCTTTGAGTTTCTAGAACATTTCATGAGCGGCAGTTTTTTGATAAAATTAAACAAATTTGGATCAATAGGTAAAGTTTTTTGTCACTGGGAAAATCAAATTTATTTGGGAAACTAAAATTTGATCACGTTTCTGATGACATTAACACTAAAGCAGTTCGGTAGTGGAGTTTGTCTCCCTTTTAACAAAAAATGAATTGAAATTTAAAAAATCAAAAGTCAAACAGCGAAAAACCAAAATTGAGTTGAACGTAAACAAATTTAAAACTAAAAAACCGTTAAGACCAAAGAAAGAGTCTTCACTACTTTCATTGACTCTTAAAGAGAGCCGCTAGCAGAAATACTATGTTCACACTGCCGAATCTTTAATCTAAATAATAATAAACCAAATTTTTGTTCTGGACTTCAGTTCCCTCATACGTACCTCGAAGGATAGTGAGTTTCGGCATCCTCAGACTCGGTGTCCGATTCCCAGTCTGATTCTTGACTGGAGAGCGACTCGAATATATCCGGAGGACTCGTTAGCTCACCTCCGTTAATTAGTTCACCAGAAACTAGAGACGGAATTGTTATCTTCAGTTGACGCACTGATATCAGTGGCGACTGAGGAGATCCACGAGTCAACTTCCGGTGACAATTTGAACCACTCGACTGGTAAGTGACGGCGGAAGACTTTGCCTGGACATGGGAGGTGAGGTGGTTCTTGCTCGAATTGGGATCTTCATCACAGGTGGATGAATCGGAAGGGTTGCTGTTTCCTGAACTGATTCCACTGTCGTGCTCGTCATCATAACTTGTTGTGGACTGGACCGCCGACTTCGGAAAACCTTAAACGCCACAAATGCTTTTCAAAAGATTCACACGTACTTCCAACTAAGGGCAGCAAAAATTCTAATATGAGTTTTAAGCCTTGAAAAGAGAAACGATTTCATATTCATTTCAACGCAGAGGCAGAACGGAGCTTCGAACAATATTTGAGGAAACACCTAGGTTAATCCAAACAATATATAAAAGCTACTAGCGCATGGCTCGCACCTACGGTTCTTCAAATAGATCGTTGAAAGTACAAAAAAGCTTCCTACAACTCAGTCAGATTTGAAGGGGGAAAATAGCAACCCCTGCGTTTACCCTTAACAGCACACCGCAATAGGGTTGAGATTTTCAAGTTCCGTTAGTTTTTTTTTAAATCATAGAAAAAAGTCATATCACGCAAACCAAAAAGATTTGAGCAGTCATAGTTGGACGCCAGATTTGCAACTCTTGAGTGTACCTTACAGCACCGAAAAATAAAGTTGAGAACTTCAAGCTCGCTTAGTTTTTTTTTATATCAAAGTTTAAAAAAAATAAGAAATCATAAAAAACGCCATATCACGAAAACCAAAAAGACTTGAGCAGTCATATTTTGAAGCCAGCTTTGCAACCCCTGAATATACTCTAACAGCACCCCCATTATAGGGTTAAGAATTTCAAGTTCGCTTAGTTTATATCCAAGTTTGAAAAAAGGAAAAAAAATCATAAAAAACATCATCTCGAAAACCAAAAGGAATTGAGCAGTCATACTTGAACACTAGATTTGTAACCCCTTAGTGAATCCCTTTTAGTACACCACTAACTAAAATTTCTTAAGCATTACAATATGCGATAAAGCTTAAACGGTGGTCAGTCAATAAGCAGAATGGTTTAAGAGCAGAATGGGTCCAAGAGCAGAAAAACAGAAAAATATTAATTTTTACAAGCAAATCGGTAAAAAAGTATAAGAATTGACAATATTACCAGAGAAACAAATAATTATGCATAATTTGAGTAATTTAATCTAGCTTTTGAAAAAATTCAATCAAAAACTTAATGAAATTATTCAACTCGTGCATAATTTAACTATTTTGACGATGGTTCCCTTGTCGGCGATGTTAATCTCCTCGCTCAGGTTTTTCCGCATTTGGTTTAATCTATGGCTAAAGTCGGCTTGGAGGTCAGCGTTGAGAAGTGTGAAGCTTGGTCTCCCAACCCCAACATGGATTTTAGTGCTCTTCCTAATGCCATTACCGTTTGGAGCAGTGGTTTGAAGAACCTGGGCGCTGCCATTCGACTAATGACGACTTTATCCAAGCCCTGTTCCTGAAAAGAGTAGGAAAGTGCGAAAACTTTATGGAACCCATCCGTCTCTTGGAAGATCCTCAGTTGGAATTACATCTTTTGAGAAGCTGCGCAGCTCTTCCCAAAATCACATTCAGCATAAGGACTTGCGATCCCTTCTCCATTAGCAACTGTCTAGATCATTTTGACAATGCCGTTCACTTATGTCTCGAGTCCATTACTGGTTCAGCCCTTTCGCCGTCTCAACGCATGCAGTGTTCATTGCCTGTGGCTAAAGGTGGCCTCGGGCTTCCAATTTCTTCTTCGATCGCCCCAGTGGCCTTCCTCGGGTGCTACATTGACACCAAATATCTCTCTGACCGGATCTTTCACAACACCACGGTGCCCTCCACCGTGTTGAATTGTTCGTCCTCCCTCGAGTTTCTCAGTGAGCCCCCGAAACACAAATGAAACTTTCAAGCCTACTTGATTCCATGTCTTGGTCCGAGCTCACGTCATCCTCCCCTACGCCCCGAGACAGAGCTAGACTGCTCTCCTGTTCGCTCCCCAACAGTGGTGACTGGCTTTCGGCAGTCACTCAGAAGGCGCTAGGATAAACCCTTCCTGTAGCCGAGTTTCGGTTTGCAGTTTGCTATCGTCTCGGAGTTCCCCTACTCAACAGCGAGTCTACGTACTCGAAATGTTCCAGGACTCTAGATACGTTTGGCGATCACGCCCTCGCTTGCGCAGCGGACGGAGACCGCATATCGCGCCATGACAGACTGCGCGATGTCGTTTTCAACAGCGCCGCTAAGGCAGCTCTCTGCCCCGTTTTAGAAAAAGCCAATCTCACTTCTCGCTCTCGCCCGGGAGACATTTATCTCCCCTGTTGGTCCCGAGGTCGTCCAGCCGCTCTGGACATGACCGTCATTAGTTCCCTGCAGTCATCTACTTTGCAAAGTGCTGGAACTAGTGCCGGTCACGCCCTCGAAGTATCCGACGAGCGAAAGTTCACAAAGCACCTTTCCGCGTGCGAAGAAGCTGGCATGCAAATCTGGTAACGTTTTTCTGTGTATCTGGCGTCATTGTAAATTTGTTTCTGTTATTTTGTATGTATGGCATTTTATAAGCCCGCGGGTAAACGCCAAGCTCCTGAATTTACTTTCTTCATTTAAAAAAACTATTTGCTTGGTATTTCTGACGATTCTAATCATTGTTTTATCAATTAGCCCGTATAAACCAATAAAAGTCAATATGCTCCGCCTCCAGCTTAAACGTGCTAAAATTCTTTGGTTTAACAAGCAAAAAAATAATACGTTAAAAGAGCTTGAACATGTCAACATAGGGACTTCTTAAACATGTTTCAAGTGAAACGCCAATGAAATAATGTATTGATGATTAATTGATGATGACGATTGATTGATGATTGATTGAGCTGAAAAAAAGAGTGATTTTTCGAAATATGAAAAATCAATAAATAACGAAATTAAGCTTAAAATATTGTTAAGCGTCAGTTATGTACTACTGTTTTAAACTTGGAATTATTGCAAGAAATAGCTTATAATCCGATAAGAACTTTGCAGCGAAATATATAACGCCGTCTAACGATTATTAACCAATAAAGCAAAAAGAAAAGTCAAAACAAAAAATGGGGTCCATTATGCAGAGCTCCAACCACTTATTCAGTAAGACTAACACTAAGACATAGCATGAGGTTCACGAAACTTACCTCCACAATCCAATTCTTTGGGTTGATCTTCATCGGACGTGCTTTCTCCAGAATCCAATTCTCGCACGGCTTTGGTCATAAAAAATAAATTGACGCCTTCAAAATATCTACTATCAATTTTTTCTGAATAGGCTTTTTCCAGATACGTAATGTTTGACAAGTCCTCGGTAATTCGACGATGGTCTGAATTGATTGTCTGTTTTTCGTACAACTGGGCGCATAGTTGTTCACAGTCGCTGGTCCAACCGCCTTCGTCCGAAGATTCTCCAGTCACATTATCCGATTCAGATGACTCGGCACTGTCCTGGAAATCTGCTTCGAGGCATTCCTTTTCATACACTGTGAAAACAACCAAATCTTCAGAATTATCTGATGAACCGCTGTCAGAGAGACGTTTGTGGTTACCGTCCTCACCCGAGGGAAGAGAAATATTATTCATCGGCGTCTCAACAGACTCTACGTTAATAACTATAGAATTATCTAATTGTATAGGTCGATCTGAAGTCAACCGATTCACGTCGCAATTTATATAACTTCGATCAGTCACATAAAATTTCGGAGAAGTAGAGGAGTACGCTGAAGTAAACGGTAAATTAGGGAAATACATTTTCCGCCAAGTAAATCTTGAACTTTCTTTAAGGACTTTATTCAAAAAAGAAGAAGGAGTTTCTGTTGGGGTGTTTTGGTACTTCAGTCTTGGGTATGGTGTAAGCCGATGAATGCAGTAGCGATGAGAAATTAGTCCGAAAACGTATCGTAATTTACTCCCAAACCAATTCAAATTTTCAAAAACGAAAGAGAAACGAGTCAGCAATGTCAACAAGACACTGCATATTGGGGCAAATTTCCGGTTGGAAATCATTATTCAAGCAATCTTTTTTGTTTTATCCATTAAACAATATGTGCACTGAAGAAAGAGAATCCGTTGAGGACAATTTTAAACGTATTATTTCAATGAAAATACTCATAGCATATCTTTGTATCTGAAACACAGAATAAAGTATTTGAAATGTCGAACAAAAATAGCATCACATAACGCGTGAATATAGTCGATAGGGCCACTCATTGATGGCGAAACATTTGCAGAGGCATTGTAACATTCGCCCGAAAGTACATGCCGGAAAGTAAAGCCAGAACCTAAAACGATTGGCTAGCGTCCAAATTGAGCTTTTCGTACTTTTAACCGTACCTACTATAGCCAATTCAATGTTGTTATCGTAACATCGGATCCATAAAATCGTTAATGTTCAAAACATATCAGCCGAGCCAAGCAAACTAATTTAGTTCTATGCTAAAATATTGAGCTCATGGCTATGTCTCAGTATCCCCAGACCACGAGGTCACTCCTAAAAACAGGGCTTGCACCTTACTACTCTTAAGTTACAACATTACTATTGTTTTTGTACAGCAGAGAAAATCATTCCACCCATCGGAGATGGATGGACCCTTTCCCTCAACTCCTAGCTTCTCATACCCTTTGATGCTAAAACTTTAAATTCAGGCAACTCCGGAAACCTAAAAGTTGTTAAGAATGCAGTTCTGAATTACAACTCTGAGCAAGCAAGCAAAACTGAAGCACAGAACAGATGCTGTTAAATTTCCAAAGCTACAGATCGTGATTATATTAACGGAGTGCAGCCAGTATTTAGACAGCCGCGTATTCATACTGGTCAGTATTTAGACAAATACTGTATGAACCAATCAGAATCGAGAAAAAAACATAAATAATCCAAAATAAATAATAATTATTTATTAATTTCTTCTTTGTCTCGATTCTGATTGGATGAAACAGTAATTGTCTAAATACTGACCAGTATGAATACGCGGCTGTCTAAATACTGACATGTAACCATATTAACAATCCCGCCAAATAATGGAACACTTTTATTGAACACTTTTACTTGCGAGTTAGGTGAAATATTAAAAGGTCTTCACAAAATTTATTTTAATTTACAAAAATATAAAAACAGATCCGACTTTATACAATAATGATCTGTTCTTTGGAGTGAGGAAGGTGTTGAAAACATAATAAGGAAAAGCTTGTATTATCTCAAGAAATAAAAAGTTCCGTCAAATTCGTCACTAGCTTCTAGTGTGCTCAGAACAGAAGCACTGTTACCAAACTGTAGAGCTACAGAGAAACGCTGCTTAAGGTAATTTACATGTGGCACAATCAACAATTTAAACAATAACAAAAAACGAATTTACTGCACGATTTGCTGCGATTATACGTGTCGTTCAAGAAAATTATAAAGAGATTGAATACATCAGTTTTGAAAGCTTTTGGGTGATCAAATACAGAAATACGTGTCTTGATATGAATCTATTGGCTAGATAGCACACTCTGTGGTAAAACGAGGAATCAGTCCTTTTTAATCGACACCGCGGTATTTCAAAGAGCGGTAGGTAAAGTGTCGAGTAAGGTCCTTGCGTAGCAGCCGATAGACGTTTACTACCAAGTTCACTATAGACGTTTACTACCAAGTTCGCGATAGACGTTTACTATCAAACCAATTCGAATCGAAAGTGCCGACTTCCAATTGACATCATGGACCTGCCAATACCAAACTAATTAATCAGTCTACTAGCTTTTGTTATAATTACTTTCTGTATCATTTTGTAAATCGGAGATTGCGTTCCCCCGAGGCTTCCAGCAGAGGCTCCAGTTCCATCATTTTCTCGTACATCACATCATCCTCCTCCGGCGCTGGGACACTATCCATCGGCTTCCCGATGGCCTTCTGTCTCTCAAAATCACTCCTGTTTTCGTCTCCTTAGCTCAAGAGTTCTTCTCATAAGATTTCACTCAAGTCATCTCTTTGTGCCCTTGGCACCGTTCCCAGGATCTTCCTCAACAGTCTGTGTGAATGATGCGACATTCGAGCCGCCAGCCGTAGGCACTTGGGTACCGAGAAGGCCTTATCCACTAGTATCCTTTGGCTGGATACCTCCACCATTGCCATGTGCAATGGATAATGGCTCCCACATACGTTGGCCATTACTGATCCCACCAAAGACTTTGCATTTACAGGCAGGCCATAACCTTCGCTCACTGGCAGTCCCATCTCCGCCTCTAGACCAAGTTTCCCTCCTCTGATATGTTTCTGGGTGGTTTGCAACGCCCCTGGCCACGACTCCACGCTCAACGCCGTCATCAAATGGTGTTCAGACTCCAGCATCTCCAGTGATTGCAGACTACACATTCTAGAGAAGAACCCCAGCGCCGTTGCTATATTCACTGTAGTTTTCGTATAGCACTCAGCCATTATCTGCACCTCGCTCTTCTCTCTTTCTGTTATGTCACCAAACCAAGTGCTAGGTCTTCTCCCTGAAAAGATTGTATTCTGACACATGATCGTCCATCACTGGTGTGCCCTCCGCCTCCGCACGTCAAGTCAAGACAGCTACCATGTTCCAACTTCTTTACTGATCCCAGCTTACTCGTTGCTCCGCCCGACTTTTTACTTTGTGGTAGGATCAATTTGTAAATCACGTCCAACGTTCCCAGATCCTCATCTTTTGTTGGTGTTAGCCTCACTCGTTCCGTGACTTCTTCAATCAAGCTCGCATGGGGATGGGGACACCAGGAAGGTCTCAGCAATTTCCAAACCGTTCCCAAATTCGTAGTCATTATGCCATTTCCATTTCCCATCCTCAATTCTACTCTTTTGCTCGAGCGCGGCACGCTTATCACCTTTGGCGTCGCCTCAAGTAGCAGGCCCAGGCTCGGTTTCTCCCTTTCCATTGAATTGATTACGATTATCCTCTACGCCACCTCATGATTCCTGTAAGCATTCGCGGCTTCTGAATTCAAGAAAGGATTGTACGCTATTCCCATCACTCCAGACACGTATTGATACTCTCCCTTTTTATTGGGTCTCGCGTAACACTCAGTCAAGGCTAAGTTGCGATGCACATCATGCCCCTCTTCAAATTTCTTGTTGTGGAATCTTCGTATCTCATCAAGTTTTCCATGATTCTCTAGGGATTGCCTCGAGTCATCCTCCTTCTCGATTCCCGTACTCTGGTACACGTTCAGTATGACGGTGGAGACTCTTCTCTTCATAGCTTTGCTCCCCATGGCCTTTCGATGACACGCTTGGACGGTGCTATTGGTCATTACGGATTTTATCCACCTCAAGAAACAAGTGGCATCTTCTCTTCTCGCCAGGCTCAGACCGAAGTTGTCCCTCGCGACGTGTTGTACCAGCATCTGATAGACTTCCAGGTTTTTACTGCCCAACTTCAATTTGTCACATGAAGTCAAGACCTCCAACTCTATTCCCACTAGGCTCCACGCAAACATCAGTTGTCCCGCGGTTCTGACGAAGAGATTCGCCATCAGAGTCAATGCTGATGAAGGTGTTCTCATCGCCTCCTCAAAATAATCCCGCAACAGGCTCTACCAAGTTCGCTTTAGCTGACTTCCCAATTCCAGCTTGTTGACTTCGGCTTTCTGTTGAGTAGCCCAATTGCGACGCTCGCGGGACACCCCTTGATCAAGCTTCTTCAGACAGTCCTCCAATTCCTTCATCGTCTCTAGGGCCACCCACCAAGGTCAAGCCGTATTCCTCGTCGCATTCTTCTCAAGAGGGTCGTTGGACACTTGTTTGCCAATAGCTTGATGATCGCTCGAGATCCATTCTCTGCCCACATCCACTTCTCAGGTTTGTCCACCCGTCGAACCCTTTGTCGAGCCTGGCTTCTGAGGTTTGAAGTCCTCCTCCGTTACCAGACTTGTCGAGACCTCAATCTCTTTCACTATTTCGGCTAGCCTCCTTGGTTCGGAGCTACTCCTGTAAGCTGCCGTCTTCCACCGCGCTAAGATCATGGGGGCAGTCTCCCTCAAGTTCTTCTCCGAGACGGCATCCACCGACGGGCTGCTCAACTCCTCCATCTCCCGCTTCCTCTTTTGCTTGGGGGTGTCGTCACTATCATCACAGATTCGATCTCTCCGTCCGACCCTTCCAACTCTTGCCTCCTCCCTGCTCGAGCCTTAAGGATATTAGTACTCTTAATCATATTACTAGTCTTAATCTTATCCTCCCCTTCAACTTGAATCATTTTATCATCAGTCTTTTTCTTCAGAGTAGAGCCGTCTTTACATTCATCATCTTTGGTCTTCTGTCGCGTCTCCCTCAAAATGACCATCTTGCTCAGCAACTCCTTTCTTGCTTTTTCATCCAGTCCCGTGCCCATCAACACCGGTTCACCAAACTTGACTACCGTGTTCCACAGTTCTTCCTTGAAGTTATCCAGCGTGGTCTCGCTCTTCGTCTCATGATTAAATTCACTCAAGAAATCCCGCCAAGCATTCTCATCCAGAGTCCCCAGAAACATACTCTTGTTCCCCTCAAACGTATCATTTGCCTCTCTTCAGCTCTCAAGAGTATCATCCCCATGTTGGAAGTCTCATTTGTCAATGGTAGTTCCAGGTTCTTACGAGGGGATGAGGTCAGAGGTGGCGTGGCAGTGTCTGCCCAATCGTCTCCGCTCAGGTCCTGCAGTAGCTCCTGGGCGGTGAAATCCACCTCAGCTGGTTTCGGCTCAGGTGTATTCCCCACTTCCATTTCCTCTCCTGTTTCACTGAGAGTTTCGTCCATGCTCTCTTCTCCCGACTCGGCTTGCCTCCTCTCAAGTATCTTCCTAAATCTTCCCAGGGGTGAGGGTGTCGCGGGGTCTTGCTTCTTATATTCCGTCAGAGCCACATATAACAAGCCTGCCGCATCCAGCTCTTTACCTTTTTGCCTCATTTCCACCTGTTCCAATCCGTAAGGCGCCCGATACTTCCTTGTGGCAAACTTCATCTCGTCCTTCAGCGCGATGTGTCCCTCTTCTACGATCATCCTGCCATCATCCCATATCGGTGATTCGTTCTCCAAGGTCGACCGATCAACTGTTCTCAAGATCTCCCGCACCTCGAATTTTGGAGGCATTGAGCGTCTCATTTTCTTTGCTTGAGTTGTCCATGAGTTTATC